TTGCATGAAGCACTTCAAGTACTTTTGAAATCCAAAAACATTTTCTCTAAAAATGCTTTCAGTCGTTTAAAAACACTTGCAAAATGAAACCTACTTCTTTTCCTGGTGGACTGCTTTTACAAAAAAGGAAATCTCATATCTCTAATTTCATCCCCCATATCATGTCAAATGATATACATACAAGAATGTACTAAACTTGTAGACAAATCATATATATTCTCACTCATATTATACTTTATCTTAGGCCAACTCCAACCCATGGCCTAAAATATATAATTCCCCTTCTATTCTCCCCCCAATTCATTCCAACCCAAGTTGTAATTTGGACCTAAAACCTAAAAAAAGCCAGATTTAGCCCAGTATTTAGGCCAATATTAGTGATGGAGCCCTCACCCACGTGGGTGTGTCTCCCACTTGTCTGCCAATAAAATTGAGCCCAACGATTGTTTTGGTGATCAACGGCTCACATTCAAATGGGTTGTTGGTTATATCCACATTTAATTTAGTTAATATTTTTGTTTTATATTTATAACTTTATTGAATTTAACGAATGAGATCGAATATTATTAAATCTAACGGAAAAAAAAAGATCTAACGGTCCAAATTTAAATTCAACGGTTAAAATAATTATAAAAAATTATTTAATTCAAAATTCACCCAAAAACTCTGTAAATACCTATATATTTGTTGAAACATCCACACATAGCTCACTTTTCTCCTACAATTCTTCCAATTTTTCTTTCTACCATCTTCCAAAACCATGTGTTTGCTCATGTATCTTGCGTTTATACATCTCTATCATGTGTTTCATATTCTTAATTAATTTTAGTGTTTCATGTGTCGGTTTAGTGATTTTTCAATGTTTATCGGAATTTATATATTTTAGGTGAAAATGACCATAAAATTAGGGGAATTTTAACGAAAAGCTCACAGTACTGTTCACTTAAATGAAAAACCACATTTTTACACTAAAAAGTCAATCATGGTACTATTCACTTTACCCTTTATTTTGTCATTTTCGTTAAAACTCAAAGTTTTCAAGCCGTTTTCATTAGTTTTTCTTAAAAATAATTTAGGATAGTCTACAAAATTATTTTTTTATAAAATTATTTTTTTTTTGAAAAAAAAAAGCCTAAATTCATTCTTTAATAATTTGGAGCTAAAATTTTAGGCTAAAATGGTTGGAGCAAAAAAGTTGTTTCTGGGTTAAAACCTAATTTTTTTTGGCTAAAAATTTTAGGTTTTAGACCAATGGTTGGTCTTACAAGAGTAACAAATCGCCGTAAAAACTATAATATGTGGTTTTATTCCCATTAATATTTAACGATTTTTTTTACGATGTGATTAACTACACTTTTTAATGTGGATAAGTAATTGATATTATTAGCATTAGGCTTTTTAGCCAAAATGATCCTTGAGATGTGCATAACACATCACTTTGGTCTATGAGATTGAAAATCAATAGAAATGGTCCCTGGGATTGTCCACCATCCATTATTTTGGTCATTCCATTAAGTGTCCCGGAGTTCTTGGCCGAAAGTTTGGGCAATTTTTAAAGCTTCGTAACTCAATCATTTCTTAACCAAATTCAACCCATAATACATCAAAATGAAGATAGGAAAGTGTAGAACAAGATTATACCTATTTGAAAGCCCAATATTTGCTAGAGAATGGCGGAAAATAGCTTGAAAGGTGATTGGTCCGCGGGAAAACTAGAAAACTCGTTGGAAACTGGGTAAACTTTAAATGTTCATAACTTCTTCAATGCTCAAGGAAATCGAGTGATTCAAAAAATGAAAATCATACGTCTCGACGAGACAAAGAGAATGATATCTTTCTCAACGGCTAAATCGTCATGGTTTGGCAGGAAAACGGCTCGAAAGTGGCTATCTTGGTCTCGAGTTAGCCACTTTCGAGCCACTTGCTGGCCAAATCATGATGAATTAGCCGTCAAGAAAGTTACCATTCTCTTCGTCTCGTTGAGAAGTATGATTTTCATTTTTTGAATCACTCGATTTCGTTGAGTATTGAAGAAGTTATGAACGTTTAAAGTTTACCTAGTTTCTGGCGAGTTTTCCCTTTTTTCTGTGGACTAGTCACCTTTCTGGCTATTTTCCAGCAATCTCCGGCAACCATTGGGCTTCCAAGTAGGTATAATCTTGTTTTAAACTTTACTATCTTCATTTTTGATATATTATGGGTCGAATTTGGTTAAGACACGATTGAGTTATGAAGCTTTGAAATTGCTCAAACTTTCGGCCAAGAACTCTAGGACACTTAACGGAGTTTTTAACGGAATGACCAAAATAATGGATAGTGGACAATCTTAGGGACAATTTCTATTGATTTTCAATCTCAGAGAATATTTTGTCTAAAAAACCTTAGTATTATTAATACTTTAACCTTACAATTATAGATATACAGTAAAAAAACTTACTATACTTTTAAGCAAATGCGATCAGTCGACTATAAAAGGAATTGTATATTTTACTGCCGATCATATTTTCACTTATATTTATTGTGATCGGTATGAATCTACCAACTCTTTTTGCTCACTCAGTACACTCTATTATATGATCTATATACGTCACATGATTTTACGTTACATCCACCCCAAAACAAGAAGAAGTGAATAAACCATCCATTTCTTCCCCTTTAGCCCTGACTTATCACGTTAGATCCATAGCCATGCACCTCTCCAATTGATGAAAGGTTTTACTTCGATACAAGTACCTACTAAGAAGTGGTACATGACGAGTAGGCACAAATAGTGGTGGTCCATGGACCATGGTTCACTTATTGCTGTTACAAGGAGACCTTACAAAATGTCGACAGTTTTCTCACATTGTCTTTGGCATAACTTGCAATCATAGAGGACTAGGATCAGCTATTTACAGCAGTAATTGAGTCATCCATGCAACTTTCTTAAGTAAATGGACCATTATTCATGGCTCAAATAAACCCACATGAGTTTAGAGGAATAAGCTCACAAAACCCTAGTTTGCAACTTTGGAGGGAAATTGATTAACTTGTGATGCTGTCAATTTGACGTTTTATTTTAGAAGATATCTGAAAAGTATAACATTCTTTTATTTGTTAAGTTTTTACTCACATGGAAGTGCCTGCTTTGTTTGTGATACTATTATTTTGACATTCTAGTTGCACGTAAGTTATTTGCACATAAAGTAAAATGACCAAGATTAGAGGACAAAGCTCATGAAATCCTAATTTGGAGGGTGATGCCAAATTGGGATGATATCAGAAGTTCATCATTTTTCGTCATGCGTTTTAATTTATTCATATGTTAACACATAATTGGTTTGAAATACTATCTCCTTCGTGTTCAAGTTTAGGTGTAGGTGTAGCTTTTTTTTTTTGAGAAAAGGTATGATATCCAATAAAGAAGATAACACGTACAATCAATTGTGATATGGTGCATACATTGGGCCTCCACAAAAATCTTGTCTGGGATTTTAACTCAGTTAAAAGAAAAAAAAGTGTCCCGCACCAAACAAATTAAGAAAAACTATTCTCAAAGAGAAGGTCCACAATTACATCAGGAGGTTTTTCAAACCAAAGAATAAAATTCTCATTACTCAGACTCATCCGTGTTAATCTGTGCGCCACTTTATTCGTCTTCCTTCCGCTGTAACCAATCCTCCACTACTGGGGCAATGAATGAATCAACGATCGAGTATCATTTAGAATATTCCGAACAGCGAAAAGTCCTCATGACCATCATGTTGTTGGGCTACCATAACAAGCAATGCATCACCTTCAAACACCGCAGCCTGTAGTTGCCTCTCCTTGACCAAAAAACCGCATCCCTAGCTGCCATAGTGTCGGCCAGCTGAGGAGAGGAAATAGCGACATGCCTAGTTGCAATAGCTGCCACAAAGTCACCCCTATCGCTCTGAATCACCACCCCAACACCACCAACACCCCTTTGTTCGTCCTATGCCACATCAAAATTACATTTAAACGACCCAATATCCGGCTTCATCAATTTCTAAGATACTCTGTAGCTGCGTTTTTCTTTTATCAATGAAAAATGAGATTCGAACTTAGGATTCCTTTCAACATTAAGAAGAAACGTAACAGTAGACTAAAAACTAGTTAACAAGTGTTAAACTCAGCACTTATTATTGCCAAGGTGTATAAAATCAGTTCGAAAGATTACAATTTTTGTTTTTAGGGAATGAACGCTCTACTTGTCTTGATATTTTTACTTTGGAGAGAAAAAAATCTAAAGAAAGCCAAGCAGATAAAAGGGAGGAGATCCTCTTGCACATAGGACCAGTGATACAAGTTTTTAGTTTGAAGTACAAAGATGAGGGGAGGAGCTCCACTTTTAGTCGTGGATCGGTTGGCTTTGGGATAATTTGAGAGAGGATCCTCGACGGATCATCTTTGTGAGGATCTCAGGAATCTTCCAATCACATTCGTTCATTGTATATCGTGTGGTTAGTTTTTGTCAGGTACTGTTTATATTCAATTTTAAATAAAAAAATTTACGATAATATATGACAGCACGATATACGATGAACGGATATGATTTAAGGATCATCGGAATCCTCACAAAAAGGCCGGCGAGGATCCTCACTCGGATAATTTATGGTGATGGGAATAAAGTCCGTTCCAACTCACAATTCTATAAATGTATAATTGAACCACGATATGACTAAACCTCTTTTGTCCATACAAAAAAATTGAACTAAACCTTATAAGTTCGTCTTCCCAATTTCATGACACTAAATAATAAACATAGAATGCAACTTAGTGTCCATTTCATTCATTGTTTAGTGTTCCTCCAATTCAAGAAAAATTTGGTGCATGGACACGTCATCCATGAACCACTTACAAAAGAATATCCTCCTCGTATATTTTGATCTCACTGACCTTAGTGCTTACCCCTATATGAGAACTTCCAAACCTGTCGAAGGTTCTGCCCGCAAACTTTGTTTAATTAAAAATTGACTATGAATTTGCAAATCTTAATAAACATTGGTTCATTTGATTTTTGATTTGATTAATTATCAACTGAAATATACATATGATCAGAGAAGTGCATCAGAAGACATAGTTCATCATAGTGATATGAACTCATACTGCTCTTTGTATGATATATTAAATAAATAAAAGTGAAAAACTCCCATTATTTCCTAATTGCTGATTGGCCTCCACAAAATTAGATCCATAAATTTCATAAAACAATAAAAGTTTATGACTTTTGGCCAATTGGCAAAGTTTAAGTCCCCTGCTCAACCACTACGACTACTCTGCCACCTTGCTGGCTGGACTCGTTGGTGGCGGCTGCCGATGACCCCTCCGCCGCCGCATTAGCTTCTTGAGTTGAATCTGCAGCCGCAACAGCAGCGGCGGCCGGGGCAGCAGAACTAGTACTCAGCAGCGAATGCCGACAATTCGGGCACGACGAGTGCGACAAAAGCCACGTGTCTATGCACCTCACGTGGAATCCGTGATGGCATTTCGGCAAGACTCGAACTTTTTCTCCGTCTTCGAACTCCGCAAGACAGATGGGGCATTCGGTGGCCGGAATATTCACGCCGGAGCCGTACACCGCAATTGGGATTTGCCTTAAATGCCTCTTCTTCAAGCCGGTGGCGGCCAACTGCGCAGCCGCCTGCTCCGGCGTCTCGAGAGCGAACCTGTGGCTGCAGCGGAGGGCGCAGCGGACGAACGAATTGAGACCAAGTGCGCATATCAAAGCACACAATAAGGCAGCCAATATGATCACCATGTTGGTGTCGAACTTGGCCTCGCTAACGTACGAATCGGCGGCTCTGTTTCCATTGGACAACGGCGCCGCCGTGTTGACCTCTGTTCCAAGGAGATGTCGATGCATGGTTGAAGAAAGGGAAGAAAGTAAAAAGAAGAGAGGAAGTGGAGGGATTTGCAGTTGGAGAGTTCTGGGAAGAACAGGAAAGGGTTTTGTTGTTGTTTTAAGTCACATAATTGTTGTGAAGATTCCAGCTAGAAAAGGACATGGAGAGAGCATATTTTTATTTTGTTTATGCGAGTGGATGTTATCCGAATCGGAGACCCCTTTTTAGCTGGTCCTGGCGAAGTGGATCGAAGAGCAGCTTGACGGACTTACTGTTTCGTCGCTAAAATTCATACTTGTCAAGAATCAATAGGAGAAAAAAGGACTAGGATTCTTCTTTCAGTTATGTACATAAGATAAGGTGACATACCAGCTCACAGTAAAGAAACGGAGGCGATCATACCAAATCAGAGTATCCTATCAGAATTATGAAGTTAAACGATTTTGAGCGAAAATATTACTGGGATGGAAGACATGTTGAGAAGCTGTGGGGTGTCTTTTTGTATAGAAAAGGAGGGTATGGGGGACGGGCTAAATGGACATCCGGCAGCTTGTATGGAGATGTGCATTTAATATTAAAGGAAGGATATAAAGTTGGGGAAAAGTGAGGTACTTTGTGACATCTTTAGCTACCTAATCATGATTAAGAATTTAATAAACCCTTGATTACTTCCAATAATCTACTCTTAGACCTAGTTTGGGAGTGAGGTGCTTAAAAAAAAAGCACCCATGAAAAAAAGCTGTGAGGGTTTTAGGTGTTTGGTAAACTGAAAAAAAAGGGCTTATTTTAGAAGCTGCTGTGAGAATAAGCTGAAATCAAAGGAAAAAGCTGAAGCTGCTATTTGTAGCTTTGGAAAACTAGTTTTTTTTCAAAGCACACGGAGTTACAGTGCTTCTTTAATGAAAAGATCCACTATCAGACTGCTTTTTTTTCCAAAAGCATTTTTACAAAAAAGTTTACCAAACACTCAGCTGATTTATTTCACAGCCGCTTATTCTCACAGCACATCCGCTTATTCTCACAGCAGCTTTTTTTCAAAGCACAGCAATACCAAACCAGCCCTTAATCACATGTTGTGCAGCTGTAAATAGAGCCAAGTAATACCTATATGGTTTCAACCAATGACAAACTGTTGGATGCATGATCCCGTTTCGATGCAGCTTCAGGCACGGTGGAAAATTTTGTTGCCAATATTCCATTTCGGTGGTACGTTACTTTTGACATCACCGGGTACAGATGTGTAGGCCTTTTCCCTCCTTTACTGCACGCAAAAGATACCTCTGGTCACGCACTTGAACCGATGTTGTTAGGGTTTGGATGTATATGAACGACTGTTCGTTTCGAACTAGTTTTTAAAGGTTACTTTAACCTAAAACATGGTGACCTACTTTCATTGCATCTCCTAGTTTTTGCAAATATCTCTTGTGGATTTTCCACCATCACCTAGATATGTATACTTCAATTGTTCTCATAATTCCTTTGGACACAAACATATCCTCTCAGGTCCATGGTATTAGATTCTCTTGCTTCTCCTTTTAACTTGTCTTTCTCGTCCATAACATGTCTCTTTCGCATGGTTCTTATAGCTGTGACTGCAACATGACTTTTATTCGGATAATAATCAGGCGAATGCGTGGCATGAAAGAATCTCCTAAGTTAGCTATTGCATGTATTAAAAATACAGCTTCTTCATCAAAATTGTCTAAAGACTGACTGCTTGAATCTTCAAATTGGTTTACAAGCTATAATCCTTCTTGACATGGTTGTCCAAATTGGTTAAGAGCGTTTATGTCATGAACATGAGGTTCAATTCATCCTCTCTTGTATATAATTTGGCACAAAAATAAAAATAAAACAATTCCTTTCAAAGGTAGGTAATCTATAATGCGGAAATTAAAAATTCAAGCCCTAACTACAAGACTCCACTCGACCATATATATAGGGATGTGCTATCCACACACCTCATTTTGCTTCTCACACATCCTTGATAATTTCTATCCGTTGATCTTCTTCAATTCATCTGATCCGAAGACTAAAAATTAAAAATGTGTGTGAGAAGTAAAACGGGATGTGTGGATATCACACCCCTATATATATCATATTTGAATCGTGTGTCGGTGCCCATGCTTCGCTGTAAATATACCTAGTTTTTTCTTTTAGCGTTCTGCATGTAAATAGTTTACAGACCCCACTTTTATGAATACAAGAGTACGTATTATAGAACAAAAATTTATACAAAGAGTAGACCGCTATTGGGCCGTTACACGTCAATAATATAACATTGTGTAAAATAAAACTTATATCCAGCGTTGCATTAATTTTACGAAACGTTATAATAGTAGTATACTTATGTCATACGAGTATTCGTATTGTAGGTTAGTGAAGAAAATTCCAGGACAAAAGTGGATGCAGGGGCAAAAACGGTGGTGGGGCCTGGCCCGTGATGAACGTGGACACATTTGATGGGCCCTGTCACGTCAGGTGTAGTTTCTGTCGCTCGTGGTGGGTCCTGTAGGAAATTTCTGTGAACCACTTCACTAGATCACCATTTAATCTTGTTTGTTAGGGTTGGGTGGGGAAGGGAATGAGGAGCAGTTGGCTGTTTTGAAACAACTAAAGCAGAAAAGTAGTTAAGCTAAAGTTATTCGGAACCTCAGCATTCAGCAAACCAAGAACCAAATTTGACAAAAAAACCCTACTCAAACTCAACTCCATCTTAGCCTAACTAACAATGTGACTGATTTGGGCCCACCACTGCTCGTCTTGGGCTTGGGTCATGGTAGTTGGAACCGAACTTGATATTATTCTAAGCGGCTCATGTTGAATAGACGTAGGTTTGGTCAGCTGGTTAAAGTACGTTTTGTGCATGTTTTTTTTTTTACACTTAAGTCTCTTCTTATAGATTAGAGTAATTTCAAATAATGTCCGGCAAAAAAAAGCCTCATGTTACATGCTCACCCATAGCTATTAGGGTTTCGTTTGGTTGCAAAATGGACATTCTAGGATCTCAATTCACAAACATTGATTGACTTCTTACATATAAGGAAAGAACCATCATTTTACTATAACTATAAGACTCTAGAAAAAATTCATTAGATTTAGAGATTGTCTAGTTATCTATTAATTTTAAAAAATAGACATTTCATCACAAAGAAGTTACTTGTTATTATAACCGTCAATTAGTTCAACGCTTATGAATGACTAACGTTTGTACAATCAAATATTGTCACTTCGTTATTTAAAAAGAAATGACTCCCTACGTCTAACAAGCCAACTAAGTTTTCCCCTAAATATTCTCATTAGATTAATTGTCCACTTGCCAAAATTTCAGTATATCAGTTCCATTATGTTTGGAGCATGATTTATTCTTTTTGTTTTACATGATTAATTAATTACTAAATCAGGAGAGATCGATGTGGCTAATTATTGATGATCTACTGCTATATTTTGCTGCATTTCATGTTTTGGTGTGGATTTTACACAAATAAATACGAAAGATCGATGCATTCAAGTTAGATAATGCATTTGGGTGAGGAGGGGTTTACATTCAGACATACTATGTTGGAAATGTGGTCCATATGTTGCATATCTGAGATTATATATGTTGGCACTGAAAATGCTTTTCCAATATTTGCATGTAAACAACCCATGAGAAAAGATGGTTTCAAGAGGACTACTCATATTAAGGCCTATCATGTAAAAATCAGCCTAGCTATAATACACAAGTATGTAAGTCAATTTCCCAGTTATATGATCTGATCTGGACCATCTTATTTCATCACAAATCTTTCTCTCGAGTCTGGATCAGATATTCCATTATGCATGTTATACAAATAAATTGATTGGGAAGATGACTTATTTACGCTGATGATGTTATTGTTGTATTATTTCAAATCAATAACGCGTTATATATTGTTTTGGATTAACGACACAATGACATTTAAGAGTATAGGCAAGTCTCTTTTTAATATGGTAGGTTCATTTACTACTCTTCACTTTATAATATGGTAGGTTCATTTACTACTCTTCACTTTAAAGGTGCCAACCCAATCAAGAAAGGACTGAATTGCTTGTCGTAGATTTTATTTCTCCTTGTTATTGGGAAACAAGCCATCATGTTAAATGGACCAGACTCGATGCTAAACATATACATAACATAACAGTATCTTTAATGGGATATGCAAATTTTAAATGTAAACCAAGCATTTAAAAAATTTAGTTCTCTCCTCTGTGAGAGTTTCTTTCTCTCTGCTGTGAGAGTACTTCTGTGAGATCTTCTTCCAGGCTCTTAGGTGGCACCGGCCCTAGCTTCGGCTGGGGTCGGGTGCTGTGTCCTCTTCTTCATTTTCTCCTTCTTTTCTCCATCTTTTCTCCTTGTTTCTACTATTGGTTCTCCCTAATTTTCTATTCTGCCTTTTCCTGGGGATTCGGGGGATCCCATAATCGTATCCGTTTATTGTACATCGTGCGGTCAATTTTCGTTAGGTACTATTTATATTTAATTTTAAATTTTATATTTAAAATTATTTCTGACCTTACGATGTACGATGATGAATGAACATGATTATAGGATCCTTCATATTCTCAAGAAAATGATCAGGCGAAGATCCTTATGGGGGTATTTGTTTGCCCTCACTAAGTGGGACTGGACTGGACTAGTTGTTAGTCCAATATTGTGTTTGTTTCACGCTGGGACTAACATTAATGAGACTAAAGGGGACTAGCATGGACAAAACTCTTCACTAAGAGGTCTTAGCGAGACCCCCCAATAACCATGGGACTAGCTAAGACCATCCTCTCTCATCCTCGTAATGCTCAACAACCACTCCTGATAGACTTCTAGTCATCTCCGGTCACCTAGATCATAATAAAATATTAATAATTTATATATTAAATAATATAATATTAGAATTTGTTATTATCCAGCTTCTTAGTCCAACACTGCACCAAACGCTTCACTAAGTTAGTCCAGCTTAGTCTAGTCTAAGCCAATCCAGCTTAGTCCTTGAAGCTAGTCCAGTTCGAGATAGTTCTGCGCAACAAACGCTCCCTTTAGGTTTTAAAGCGCCAATAAGAGTACCCAAAAATTTATATTTTAATTTGATTTGTGAAAAAGTCAAGGACTAATGCTAGGGAGGATTGTATACCAATTTCCACCGACATAAAAATTAAGGATAAATAACATTTACCTTCTTAGGTTTGAGTGTAATTGCAACTTCATATAATATCTTTGAAATATTTTAATTTCATACATTTACTTACATTTTATTTCAATACCATACATCCGTTAACTGACTCGTTAAATTTACCATTAAGTGATGACATGATGACCCATATTTAGGTGATGATGTGACAAATAAAATTAATTAAATATTAAAAAGTTAATTTAAAAAATAATATTAAATCAAAACAAATCTAAAATGAATTCCGTTCCATCTAATCCATCAAGTTTGTGATCTAAATCGTTGAAATTTAATCTAACGACTGAAACAGGAAACCCTTTTAAAAATTATAATAATTATAACTGTTGAAACAGTACGAATCCCGAACTTGGTGGATTAAAAGGATCCCTTTCCAAATCAAAATATCACTTCATCTTCTCCATCAATACATTCTCTTCTTCGATCATCCATGGCCTCCATCACCTCCTGAATCGTGTTCGCATCTCTGATCCTGTTCTTCGCCAGTAGCCACCACTATCTGGAGGCCGTCGCATTGTTGTCCTGCAGCAGCCTCCTATCCTTCGGACTAACCCAACCCCAAAAACCCATCTCAGATCCTCCGACCCCGAGCAGCCTCCGGTGAACTGGAAAGTTCAAATTCGTTAGAAAGGTTCAGGACTTTCGCCACAATCGCCAAACTATTGCTAGAAAATTTGGTTGGATTTTGAAATACCGCTTTGAATTCTTGAACGAGGGTCGTATTGAGATCCACCAGAGCGTCGTTGATTTTGGCCGCGGAGAGAAGCTTCTCGCCCTAATTCACATCCATGGAGGGCAGTGAGTCGTTGAGCCTATCAACCATGTCTGCAAATAGGCCCTCGCAGACACCTATAACTTTCTCTAGGCGGGTGTCCTTGCTGGTGTACGCGGCTGATTTGATCGCTTTGGGTGGGTTTTCCTCCTATGGCTGCTCAGAGCAAATTCGGGTCGGGGCGGGGACGGGTGGTGGGGTGGTGGTGGAAGAAGGTCCTACGATCACTCCGTAATGGTGTTGGTGGTGGTGTAGGGCGTGGTATGGGTAGCCTAGCTTGGTCTAGGGCATATGAGGTTGGTAATTGGGTGAGGATGGATGGATGGAGTAGGGTGAGGATGGCTGGGTTGGTGGGCCTACTTTTTTTTTAATTAATTAATTTTTAATTTGTTTTTATCCACTTGGCGCAAAGTTGGCAGTTATATCATCACACAAATGTAGATCAAAATGTGTCACGTTATTATTTAACAGTAAATTTAAAAGATTTTTTAACGGATTTAAATGTGTAAAATGTAATTTACCTTTAAATTAATAATAGCGTTATTGTATCATTGTCAGTTTTTATATTTTTGTCTCAACATAAAATGATCTTTTTCTCTAGCTTTACTAGTTGACGATAGTGTTTAAATTGTATGTTAACTTTTGCCAATCTGAAATATTAGGATCGCTTTCTGTGGAAGGTCGTACAAACATCACTTTATTTGTTAGAAATAAATGAGATTTAGAGCGGAGTACTTGGTTATGAGCTAATACCATATAAACTACTTCCACATTAGTTGTTACATACAAATCTAGAAAAAAAGTTTGAGAATTAATGTCGTATTACTGAATTTTTAAAGAGGCTAACTTTGTTGTTGATGTCTTGGCAAGCTAGGGACAGTGCCCTCCTCATTGTCATATTTGGGATGATACACTCCCTGCTTCTGCTGTAGTGTTTGCTTGGTACTCTAGGGTTTTGCGTTAATTTATTTTCAGTTAACAAAAGAAATTGCAGAGGCATAAATATTTAGAAATAAGATATATAATTGCTAAATAAAGTTCAACCAGGAAGCTGACTAAACACAGGGCCAATCAGCCACCATTTACAAACACAGATTAAAATAAATAACAACGTAGAAGTTAAAGACAGCAAAGACCAAGCAGATGACAAAACAACTAGAAGTAAGCCCTACTGAAACGAACAGCAGATAAACTCCGTCAAGCACCAGATTAATTTATTCTTATGCCACTACATGTTCCTCCATAGGAAATTAAGCTCTTGGTCTTTACTCTTCACAAAGCTCTGATCACTTCACACTGCAACACAAAAAAAAAGAAAAAAAAAAGGTTAAGATCTAAGAAAAGAAGTTAATTTAGGAACAGTTTGATAATCATTTATTCTTATTTTTGTTAATTGTTTTGTAATTTTTTCAGGAAAAGAAAAAGAAAAAAGGAAAAAAAAAAACTACGTACTTCTGTGTGTTTTTTAATTTTGGCTTGACTTACTAAAAACTTAAATTGTTATCAAGCATGAATATAATTGATTATAATACCTTTTGCAGTCAGTAGAGGGGCTGATCTTGTACGGAATGTTGACACCACACCTGGCAGGAAGGCCAGCAGCAAGGCCAGCGTTGGTATTGGTGTAAGGTATTCCATTGATTGCTTGCTTCAAGCAGTTGCAGACGTTCTGGCGGTCAGGGGTGGTTTGAGCCAGGTTGTAGAGGGTCTTCACCCCGTTGCAGCAAGCGGGGTTCAGTGCCCCGCCGTTCGTCACGTAGCTAAGGCATGGAACCAGGCTGTTCACCACCTGACCGCATGTCACAGCTGCCTCGGCTTTGGGGGCACCAGCCACCATGCAGAACATCACCACCACCAAGCATGCAAGCTTAAGGAGCTGTCCAGAGCTAGCCATAACGTCTTCGTAAATAAGAGTACACTAATCTTTGAAACTGTTGAGGAAGTGTTTGGATACACTGGTGAGTGCTAGAAGGGCTGAAGGTGTGTTGTCTATATAGTGTAAAATTGGTAGTTGGGATATTGAAAACTTTGGTGGAGTTCAGTTGTGTAAGTTAAATGCTAGCACTTGAATCCAGAAGAAAAATATCTTTCTTGTGTCTATAAATTAAACTGCTCTGTGTGTGTGCAGAAAATTTTAATTGTGACGGGAATACAGATAGTAAACCACATATTTTTATATAAGTGGTGAAAAATTTTATTTTTCAAATAATTAACTTTTTAGCATACATATCCAACAATTTGTATAATGACACGTGGTGTACTATCTCGTGTGCCGATCACATTAAAAAATTTCTCCTGTGTGTACACGTTCGTAAGAATTTACGAATATAACTCATTCATTCAATCGCTCAACCAACCAATATTTAAGCCCCGAATGGATGATAGATTTTTTTTTTACCAAGACCAAAAGCAAAAAAAGTCCTAATTATATGTTCAACTGCGTCTCATCAAAGCCTGACCAATATAATATCAATAAATATTTCAGGATTATGTGCATATGGAGTTACCCTACTTCCAAAAGGTTTTGCAGAAAATAAGTCCAACAATTTTTTGTAGAGATTTTCATCCCTCTACAATCGAGGTCAATACTCTTCATGATTCTCAAGTGGTGGTTTTCCAGAATAGATTAGGGCTCAACTCATCCCATTAACATATAGGAATATAGAGAATTCTAAACTTATCATATGTTTGTTTAAACATTCATGTTCTAATGCAAATGGAAAATATTGACAACATATTCGCAATATGAAAAATGTGTGTTAACGAGTGTAACTTCACCATTATGATTTAATGAACTGCTTATTAATTAAAGAACCGTGTGCCAGTAACAAGAAAGTTTTACGCTCTTAAACTTGGACTTGGATTCTCTGCCCTCCCAATTCGGTGCCCTCCTCGTGCCTTCCTGTTTTGTGTGGTCACGGTTAATCCATGCTAACATTTTATTGTTTTTTATAAAAATAATAAGACAAAAAAAAAATAGTGTAATATAAAATATTGACGTGGCTTAACCGTGACCACACAAACATGAGGGCACGGGGATGGCACCGAATTGGGAGGGCAGAGAATCCAAATCCCTTAAACTTAGCAAGTAGCAGGAACGCTCTCTGTCTTACAGTCTTTGTAATTTCACAAAATTGTCTTAATCCTTGGTCTTTGTTTTCCACTTTCGTACGTGGTAGCTGAAATCCAAAGTTGCAAGTAAAGAAACCCTATGGTCACCTGGCTATAGCACTTAATTATTATCGGAGAAAGCTCATTATCCTTTCTAGAACAGATATACATTGGTTTGTGGTATATTATTTGCAAAGTATATTGCATAATTCGATCTTTAATTTTCAGAAGAGGTTTACATCACTAGTACAAAAAACACTTGGTGCGACGCAAGTCCTTCGTCGTGCAAAGTAAAAAACATTGCTAAAAAATTAGCCTAACGAAACCTTCGTCGCACGCCAACTGTTGCGCCAAGACAGTGAAAGCAGGGTTTGAGCCACGAAGAAGTCACCTGTGTCGCGCAAAGTAGTTTTGCGTGACGGAGAACTACATCGTGCAAAACTACTTTGCGCAAAAAAGAAGTAACATGCATCGCGCAAAATAGTTTTGAGCGATGTAGGAACCTACATCATAAGGAAGAAATAATTTAAAATACTTACACTAGTGGATACCACAAAATTGTAAGGAAGAAATAATTTAGTTTTGGAACCATTCATTAAGGTCTACAAAAGGTGATTTAATTTGCAGTTTCTACCTCCCAAACTGATTAAGAGATGGGAAAAAAGTTGTTGACTTTGTGCGACAAAGACCAGCGTTGCGCAAAATATTTTTGCGCGATGAAGGTGGGCAATCGTCGCACAATGTTGGGAAAAAAATAGTAAAGCATTATGGTTTGGTGCCAAAATCTTGTGCGACACACATGACGGGTCGCGTAAATGGCACTTGCGTCGCGCAAAACAATTTTGTGCGATGCCAGTCTTCGTCACGCAAAAGCCGTTTGCGCGACGTTTTGTGTTTAGCGTTGCACAACCATACTTTGGGTGACCAAATTTGCTCTGTTGCACAAGTTGCTGTAGCGCAAATATGTTTTTGTACTAGTGCGTACACTATGCTTTTATTTCATCTTCATATTAATTACTAACCGGGAATGAATTGTTAACTAATCAAAGGATGATAGTTAAAGAATAACTAATTGTATTTATAAAAGGGAATTATTATTAACGTTCAAAAAATCTTATTTTGCAATTCAAACATTTTATAATTATAATAAAAAATACACTTGTAAAAAGTGCAAAATGTGATTTTTAGAGACGTAATAATTGTTCCTTTATAAAAACTTAATTTAGAACAAATATGAAAGTAATAAACAAACATGAAAGCAATCTTGAACCCTAGTAGAAAATAGCACAACAAAAATGGCCACTGCGCACAATAAATTATCTGTGCCCTTTGAGGCCAAAAAGCACCAACAATTGTGCTCATAGACCAATAGCAACAGTGCATCAACTAAATTTGTATATGTACCCTCTATGGACGTCACCATTGCTAAAAGGGCACAATACACTGTTTGGTGCTCAAAGAGGTAGGACTATTTGTGCCTGTTTCTGACAACTTTATCAGAAGACCTTTTCTGGCCATATTGACACTTATATTATAATTGTGCCAACAAGAATTAAATATATAAAAAAAAAAATCAAAATTTAAAAAACTGAAACTGAATTGAGGAAATACAAAAATTTAAATTTTCATAAAATGAAAACAGCCTACAACCATGAAATGGAAAGTAAGCACAAACCATGTTAAGCACCATGTAAGTACATATCAAGAAAATTCTAAACTTCAGAAAGCCACAAAAAGATAGTATAAGATCTTTAATTTGGGAACTCAACATAACAAAGTCAAATATAATTGAGGAAATAAAGATATGCAGAGATGTACTTACACTGAGAGAGCAGAGTAGTTGGAGACCTGAACTTTACAGATTCAAATCTCCTCTTCTTAGAATTAACATGCATTGTACCCTTAAAAATGTTAAAACTACATCTTCAGAAATAGAATAAAACAAATTTGAAATTTGGAATTACAAAAACCATAAACGCTTAACCCATCTTCCTTTCAAAGTTCTACAAATTTATCTTAGACCCTGCTTCCTATAACACCACAAACACGCCAAATAAGTACTTTACTTAAAAATTCAAAATTCAATTCTCATCATTATTTGTTTAACCCATTAAAAATAAAACTCAAATTAAGGAAACAAATGAATAGATATGATATCAACACCCTTAGCAAGAGTAAGGTAATAGGAATTTCATAAGTCACAACAATGAATTGTAGCTGGATTCTTAACAGTTGCTAAATACTAGCTTTCTTACAGCTTACATACAGTTTGACAAAGCTGAAAGCTAGTTGGAAATTAACAGCATCATATCAAGCAATTTGACGAGAGCATGCAAAAGCTAGTTGGAAATAAAATTAACTATAAAGGGAAGATTAGGAGAAAATTTGGAAGAGACTTGAACAAATAAATCATTTGCCACTTCCAGTACCAGAGCAATTTTGACAACAACATATCAAAGTACTACCAATGCCAGTTCATTTGATAGAGATGGAAGAGGAAACAAGAAGGGGCTGGGAGGATAATGCAGGACTTATGGGTGTTGCAGAAGCTGCAGAGACAGAGAAAAGGAAGGAGGAAGCAGATCAAGCCCGAAGTTCCAAACGGGATGAAGAAAGTATCATCTATAGTCTGGAAATCTCATTCGTTTATAGCAGACTTATTTACCATATTTACTTTGACACGATCAATCAAAATTAAAAGGTTCAATTCACAGTTAATAAGTTATGCATCAAACCGCATGCAGAAGGAAACAAATACTAAAGCTGGATGCCATGCCACATTGCCTCAAAGAAAACAATGTTATATATTTGAAAGAAAATGGATGAACTGTAAAGTGACTATAACTTACAGAACAATATCCATATGCCGAGGAGCATAATGTCCACCGCCTAATCCAAGAAGAACTTTATTCTTACCCTTCTCTCTAGAGCGCCAATAATATAGAAAATGAAGTTAGAGAAGCATCAAGCTTTGGTTAAAATTGCAAACAAAGACATGAGCTTTTCATGAAAGTGAATATGCCCGTTCCAGTTTCCAACAGCAGCTCCCCCTCCAAGCCCAAGTCCTTCCCAAACTAACTGCAAGCACATAAATTGCCACCAATTTATTCTCATGAGTTGTTTGTTCTGTTAAACTTTACAAGCTCAGGGAAAACCAGAAACATTACTAAGAGAGGAAAAGTATTTATTAAAAAAACCAACAGTAGGACGTATCAATGACTTGCTCAAATGATTGAAATTGGTAGTTGTCTACATAACTAGAGCCATAACTTGTGCTGCATTTTGCCTCTTCCAGTACTCATCCGTGTTGCCTATATCAACCAAGTAACATAAAAAAACAATAAACCCCCAAATGCATAGTAAAAAATACAAAAAACCATGTCACATATAGAAACTTCAGACTGAATAGTAGCTTTCCAAAGCCAAATATACCATTGGCTAATACATTAATTAGTGCATATACAACTCAATATTTGTTAATTCATAAAAATAGCCAATCACCTTCCAGTCTAAACCTATTCGAAGTGACAGCAGGTCACTTTCCATTCAAAGCAAAAATGGTTATGTTTGAATCTGAACCAGATCAAATCCCTTTTTGATTATAACCCAAAAGAGAAAAAAGCTCAGTTTTCTTGTGTTTCAAACGAACCCTAACTCTAACCCTAACCCTAAAATTAATCACAAATTATTAACTAAATTAACCAATACAAGTTCTAAATTGTTACCATTTTACATGGAACGAAGTGGAGAGGAAGGAATCGCATTATGTAGGTACTGAGCTGAAGGGGAACTGGGGATGAGATGAGAGTTAAGGCTGACTGAATTGTAGATTCTGTGTGAAGGAGAAGGATTTGCAGAGT